AATCCTAAGTTTCCTTAACTTCATTAGGTTATTAAGATTATTGTTCTTGTGGTTATTAAGACATTGGAGCTCCACTTTTATCTTCTGAAGCAGATGACGATCCATCCTCTTCTTATTATTCAAATTAGGGATTTGATTCTTGAGCCATACTCTAATTATAGTCAACTTGACCAAGGATAGTATCATTTAATTCTGCTAAAAATTGTTATGCTTATTATAGTTAATTGACAAAGTTGTCATCCACTTCTAACAGATATTTTCCTTTGCCTTTCGAAATCAGTTTCATCTTTTTTAACATTGCAGGGGCTGCTGCTTACTTCTTGTTTTAAGCTCTTGTTTATTTACCAACTAAATAAGAATAATTTGTTAAACCTTTTTTATTACTAAAGTTGCTCATTATTTAATAATAATTATACTATTATTCCATATAATTTAAGATATGAACTGCAAAAATACAAAATATCATACATCCCTATAATATCTAATTTAAAAATGTTAATACTCTTCTATAAATATATATAAAACTAAATGATAACATTTAAATTTCATCATTTTAACAATTAAGATACACTTTAATCAGAGTAATGTCCATGTCGATTAAAAATCATAAGAATTTTAAGAATTTTACCTTAGTTTATAATATGATATTGACCACTCAATAATAAAGACTAGATTGGGTTAAAATTGTTATAAAACTGAAATAATTACAATTTGCCAAAGTACATTTACTACAATAAGATTTTATGTATTAAAGAAATTAGAGATAAAAGATTTAAATGTCCATTCATTTTGAATAAAATATTATTCAATAATAGTTATTTATTTTTATTAATATTTTAATTACTATTAGAATAGATATAATATTTCTAATTTCTCTTCTTTCTATTTTCTTCTTAATTAAATCCTTTATTTTTAATTCAAATTATCTATTGTGTTGCTTATTGATGATGAAAACTATAAAAAGTATAAGTGACTCTAGAATTTTAAATATAAAATATTGTAATCATATTCTAAGATGTTAAATCTTGAATACTTCCTTTGTTGAGAAACCTTCCCTCAAGGAATTGTTATTTATGATATTAAGATAAATTCTTTTTAATTCTTTCAAGAGGAATGATTTTTATTAATCTTTGGGTTTTTAGTTGTTTATTTGTTTAAAAATAAAATTTTTAGGATAGAGTTGATAAGAAAATATATTTAGAAAGTGAGGAAGCAAGAGAAAAATATATAAAATCTAATTAATTGATTAATTCTTGAATAACTAATCATTTCTTAACTTATTTCTTGGTGGCCTTCTTAGTGTTTTTCTTGGTTGTTGCCTTTTTAGAACCAGCAGCCTTTGGTTTTGCACCTGCTTTCTTGGCTTGCTTTTTTGGTGTAGTGGCAGCAACTGGTGTTGCGGTAGTTGGGGCAGGTGGAGTAGTTGTCACTGGGGCTGGTGCTGGAGTTGTTTCAGTTGGTTTTTTAGTAACTTTCTTGACATTCTTAGTAGCTTCTACAATAAATAAAATATTTGACTTGGTGGTGATGTCTTTTTTGCTCCTTTATTTCCTTTTGTTGCTCCTTTTGCCATTTTAATTATGTTTTCTTATTTTTATTATTATGTTTTTTTCTTATAAGCTTTAAATTCGAATTATAAAAATTTCGTTAATTTCATTGGTTTATTTGATAACATTTTGGATAATGATATTGCTCTACTTTAATTGTCAAATAGGTAATTGTGCACATCCTCTTCCTCACAAGGTATTTTAAACATCAAATAATTTCAAAATTCTGCCTACTAGAGCACTTCAAAATATGATTAATTTGGATCAATTTAGCACTTACTGCAGAGAATTCACTTCTAAAAACACTTTTCAATCCTTATTAAATGATAATCTTAAGAAATTATTCAGTTTCTATCCATAATTCAAATTTGAAGCAGAATTTAAAAAAAAGGAATTTTTACAAAAAAAAAGTAATAATAAATTTTTTTTATTTTTTTTTTTCAATTTTTAATAATTTAATAATTTTAATAAAATGGTATATATCAACCAATTTTGGTACTCCTTCTAGTAATCAAGAATCTCTCTACTTCCTCAGCTAACTGAGGACCACCGCATTCCATTACAGCATTGATCACATCTGCCATATTTTATTTTCCTCCAAGGACAGCTTTTTCTAATTACAGAATTTCATGTTCAAGAGATTGTTGGCGCTATTCACTTAGTACAACAATATTCTGTCAATTATTATATATTATGTGGTTACCTTGGTTATTTCAAATTAATTTTGTAAACTCTCAAGTTTAACTTAATCTTTTTTATTTTACAAATCTAATTTTTATTTAAATAATATAATTTACTTAAACTTTAATTCTCTTATTTTAAAACAGATATCTAAGCAATATAATCATTTAATAGTTTAATTGAATCTGTATTTTAAATATCAGGTGATTATAGAAATACATTATTTTATGTCATTAATCTTTCTATCTCTTGAGTTCTATTTATATGATTTATATTTACTTTGATTTTAATTCAACATTCTTATCAACTAATTATTATTTCAATTATTCATTTTCTTATTCTAATTAAGAATTTTAATTTTTAATTTAATCATATTAATCTTAAGAACGTCTGCCTTTCTCATGTAATTCTTTCTCTAAATATGCTATTTTTATTTTATTTTATTTAATTTCTTCATTCTTACTATCAACTTCAATTTATTTTGTTTTAATTAGATTTTTCATTTATTCTAAAATTTCTTAATTTGTACTATGTCCAGATAATTAAGAAGAATTTCTAAAACTATCATTTTGAATTAATTAAATTGCTTATTATGCTCTTTATAACTCCTTTTCTAAACTTTCTATATCTTTCTTTTTGTTCTCTATATCTCTCTTATGGCTTTCTAAATCATAAGATTTATTTTCAAGTTCTTTCTTATATTATTCTGCTTCTCTTTTAATTTATCCATTTTCTCTTTTAGTTACATCCAAATCTTTTTTCCATAATTCAGCCTCTTTTTTATAAAATTCTATTTCTTTAGACTTTTAATCTAATTCTCTTTTTAAATGATCTGTTTCTTTATTTGTTAATAAAGAATGACTTGAACTATTATTAAAACTTTTAACTTAAATTCTTTGATATTCATTTCTTAAATTACTATAAGTTTCTGATAATAAATTAAAGGCAGCTTCACTTTTAATTTATTAATCTTTTAAAATTTAATTTTCATTAGTTAATTTTTAAATTTAATTTTTTAATTAAACATTTTCTTATTATAACTATTACAATTATTATTTCCAATAATTAGAATCTATTTCTGTATCTAATTATTTGCTTGATATTGTTAAACCACCTTCTAATTAAGTTGGTCTTGTTCCAAAATTTTCTTAGAATTCTCCTTTCTTAGATATTGGTTTAGGTTTAGTAGATCCTTTGAGAATTTCACTTTATTCAATAGGTGAAACAGCAGATAAGACTTCATTTCTTGTTTTTACTCTTGAATCATAACGATTGGGACTTTTAGATGGAGCTCTATTATTATTTGAGTTATTCTGTAAGTCCTTGTTAATTTATCTGAAATCTAATTGATTGTTATTTGAAGTTTTTAGATTGTCAAATCCTCCAGTTGATTTTTAAATTTATTACTTATTTATTGGTTTATAATCTTTTGGAGTTTAAAATCTACGAGGACTCATTATTCGAACTTCAGGTTTGCGAATTTCTTCAAATTTTTCATCCTCTAATGGTCCTTTTTTGATAGGTTCCTTTAATCTTTTGACATATTATTCCTTAACCATTTCTTAATGATCTTTCCATTATGTATATGTTGCATGAACAGTTCTTTTATCAAAATGCAATTCATCAGCTGGTTTCTTCTATTGACCAATAGGTCTCTAAGAAGGTGGTTAGTCTCTCAAAGGACTTACTTACCTATTTTATTTAGATTGAATCTAATCTAACTAATTCCATGCCAAACTCATTTAAACTTATGCTTCTGAATCAAATTTATTTTGTATAGTAATTTTGTCAATGATAAGAGGAAGATTGTTCTCAATATAAAACCCTAAATTAATGGTTGCCTCTCCAAATATGGTTGTACCCTCATAAAACAAGAGTTTCAACTATAAATATAATGCTATAATACAATACATTCCCTTTCTCAATATATTACACATTTAATTCAATTTTTTCCCAAATTTCTTGAATCTCTTTACATTTGCATCTGACTTTCGATTCCAAGACTGAAGTAGAGGAAGCTGAGATTTAATATTATAAATACAATCGTTTATTTTAATAGAACAGGAATCGAGTGAGGATCCAATAAAAAATTGTATTGTCTGTACTTCAATATCAAGATGTAGCATTTTGAAATAAAATATGTTATTTTATTAATTAATAACATGAAAAAAAATATTAATTATACTAATTGATCTATGAATGTTAACAACTACTTAAATAATCTATTAGAATGACATAATTCATATGCCTATATATTAATAAATTAACAACAACAATCTTTTCATTTTTGCAAAAACAAAATATCAATGAAATACAGTAATTGATTACATGTAGAAGTATTTAAATTAGATTCCAAATTTGAGTAGTTTAAATTATTAATAAAGTAGAAATAAAAGTTATATTTTAAGGACTTGCCATTATGGAATAGATGAATGATTTAAAAAATATTTTGATAAAGTAAAATATGTGAATTCTTATGATTTTGGAAATTGACTTAATGTATTCCTAAAGTTTAGGAAGTATATTTTAGTTTTTTTGTTTTTTAGACTATTTATGTTTATGAATATTTAAATGATTGATTTCAAAATATAAACAATCATGATCATAAGATCAGTTGAGATCATTTGAATTATCTAATATAACTATGAATGATGATTTGACAATTCAAAGATTTGATATTTAATACTAGGATAATCCCTATTATTAATGGATGAATTCATAAAAAAAACATAGAAGTTATTAAGATAATTCTAAAAATAAAATGAATAAATGAATTGTTCTAATTCTTATAATCATTTCTAAGCTTGATTATATCTTGTCTCTACATCTTTCCAATTAACAATTTTCCATACATTAGCCAAGAAGTTTGGTCTCACATTCTTGTAATCCCACCAATATGCGTGTTCCCAAACATCAATTGCTAATCATTTAAATTTATGAATCATTACTTAAGATAGGTGTAAGACCATAATTTTATGGAATTTCTTAGTTAGGTAGTTCCAAATATCTTAATTTCTTTGATTATTAATCAACTCCCAAGAATCCCCATCCACTACCTTAAATAGCAGCAGTTCTAGTATTAAAGAAAGTCTTGAAGTTATCAACACTTCCCCAATTTTTATTAATTTCTTATACTAGAGCACTGTTTGCATCAGGTAATTGTCCTCCTCCATTCTTAATAGGGGTCCTGCATTATTAGTTAAATATTTATACAAGTTCTCCCAAAATAAACTATGATTTAAATGGCCACCCAAATTGAATTTGATGGTACCTTAAAGACTTGAAATCTTTTAGACATCATTCTTTGCTAAGGCATCCTCCAATTATTCTTATGCAGCATTAAGATTATTGATATAAGCTTAATGATGTTTGGAATGATGAAATTCTAGAAGTGTTGCGCTCAATACTGGTTCTAGATCACCATATCCATACTTAAGAGTTGGTAAAGTGTGAGCTTTAAGTGTGCCAAAGAAAAATTTAGAATTCTTAAAAATTTACATAAAATTTATTAATAGATATGATTTTTGTGTTTATAATTCATTGATAAAAATTCTCGTATTTCTTTAAAATTTCATCAAATTCCACATAATTGAATTCAATACCCTAGTAAGCAAATCTATAAGAAATTATAATATTTAAATAGTTACCTTTTACAAATGACTCTAAATTAATCATCAGTTAATGGCAATTTATGAAAATCCATTATAGATCTAAATCGAGTAAAAGTAATCTTTCCAGATTTAGTTTTATCCTATAATATTCAAATCATATATTACTTTATCTTGGAAGTGTGGTTTAAGTAAGATTCTGTGTTTTTTAACAACTTCCCCTAATCTTAACATTATAGTATGCAAAGCTTCCTCTTCTTCTTAAGTTAAGGCATCTCTAGGATCTAGAAAGGTTGGAATAACATGGACTGGAGGTTTCATCAATGGATCTTTATCTAATCCCTATGTTTAAATTATTAAATATGAATTATTACAGATTTTGTAAATACAATTTCGACATCTTCTATAAATTTAGCATAATTGACTCTAATTGGATCTTCTGGTACAACATACATAGTTTCTAATAAATCTAAACTTTCTTGGTCCAAATCAATTTTCATTTAACTCAATACTCCTCTAAATTTATTGGTAGGCATTAATCCTTTTCTTAATGGATCAAAATCTTTGAAATAATCTCCTAATCTTAATCTTTTTATTTTAACAGCCACTTTAATTTATTCTAATAATACAGATGGTTATAACTAATTAAAATAATAATAATTATTTACTTTCTCTTTTTCTTTTGGTTTGACTCCTACATAAGCTTGAGATGCTCCTGATTCAGTTTAAATTTCTAAGGGAGGTTGAGTATCATTTATAAATTAAACATATCTAATATCTCCATCATCTTCAGCTGCATATATTTTAACAACTGCTTAGAATTCTTCATCAGATAAAATGAAATTAACAGTAGCTAAAGTTTATCTGAATTATTTAGGAGATACTTTATTTCTACCTAATTTATCCCAATCTTAAAAAAATTATTTAATATCTAATCTGGTAGCTTTACAGAAATATTAAAATTTCTTTTTAACAACTTCAGCTACTTATCTATCTCTTTCTGTAATAGAGACTCTACCATAATTATATTATGTTGACATCATAGGTACTTCTTCAGAAGGACTTACTTTTTCAAGATTTTTAGTAGTAAATACTTAATCAACTTAATCAGTGAAATCTTTCCAATATACAAAATTGGGTTTATCTTTGCATCCAAAGTTTTATAGTATCAATTAAAATTCAGCATCAGACAATAATATCTTAGCCATACTTAATCCTTTTCTTAATTATGTAACTGTAATGGTTCCACTTCTTAATTTATCAAAATCTCTTAAAAATTCTGCTATTCTTTATCTTTATTCTTTAACAATTCTTCTTAATTTAGCCATAAGATCTTCAAAATCATTAGGTTAATCATTTCTTATAAATGCTTAACTAACATTATCTGATTTAACATAATTTTTGAATGCATCAGCATGAGATCTACTAATAGCAACACCTTCATCAGATTGATCAACAATTCTACAGAAATCATAATAATTGACTTCATTTAAATTAGCTTTATCAACAAATCTTTTTAATAATAAATTTAATGAAACAGGATCTGGGAATAAATTAAATTAATTTAAAATTCTTAAGAATTAATTAGTAGTGATATATCCTTATTTAGTCTTATCAAAATCTTCAAAGACTGGTTTTAAAAGAACTCTTTTGTTTTGAATGGCTTATTTATATTTCATCAATAATTCATCTAACTATATGGCTTCTTATTCAGTCATTTATAAATATCTTCTTCTAGCTGGTAATGTAGTTGAATCATCAATTTAAGGAACTTATGCTTAAGGAGATTTATCTATTCCTTTAATAGTAAAAATCTTATCAACATCTTCACAAAATTGATTATAATCTACTTAACCATTAGGAATGCTGTCAATTTTATAGTGATTCAATAATATAGATATTTCCTTTTCAGTAACAGGAATATTTTGAATATGTAATATTCTAGCAAACTAACATGAATAATCATAAAATACTTGAGATTCAGTAACTAATCCTTTTCTTAATGGATCAAAGTCTTTATAGAACTCTCGAATTCTAATTCTTTTCATGACTACATCTCCTTAAATCTTCTTTAAAACTTATTCCAATGTGTTGATGTTATCAGTTAATTTTTTGGAAGTAAACAAAGTAGAAATCAAATCAAGTCCTTCTTTGTCTTCAATGAAATCATCATCAGGATGGACCTAGATTATTAGATATTAATACTTCTTTTGGATTATGCTTAATACCAGTGATAACTCCACTTAACATTTCTTGAACATTATCAACATCATCACAAAATTTAACATAATTCACTTCCTTTGGATTACCATTATCAATATATTGTCTAATAAGTAATTACAAATATTGATCTTTAGGCAATAACCCTAATTAATTCAAAACTCTAGAAAATTGATCAATTGTAATGTGAGAACAAGCAGTTCTATCAAAATCCTGGAATGGCTGTTTCAAAAATATTCGTTTTGTTGCAATTTTCCTTTTTATTGCTAACATTAATCTCTTTACTGTTTCTTCCTCATCCTTATTAAAGATCTACAATTACTCTATAATTAATACTTAGGGTGCCTAAAACACTTAAGCTTTAGCTTCACTATTCAAGAATTACTCTTCAAGTTTGTTACAGAATGTTGTATACTATACTAATCCATCATTAAGTTTATATCTTCTTATTATTTCTTCAATTTCTTCCCTAGTAAAGTGAAAATTTATCATTGATAAAGCAGAACGAAACTTATTGTTATTCATACAATAATACCTTATCTTCTGTCACCCATCCCTTTCGTAGACGATCAAAATCTGTAAAGAATTCTCTCACTCTTATTTACTTTTTATACACTTCTTATTGTAATCTTGTCTCTATATCCTATTGTACATAAGTTCCAACTAAACATTTAAATGAAAGCATTTTACTTATAGATTATCCTGCAGATACTAATGCTGTAGCCATCTTTCAGTTATCTTTTTTTACTTTTTATTATATTTTATTTATTCCTAATTTCATAAAAACCATATACAATAAATTCTCACTATTAGATAAAACCAAATCTCATAATCATGAACTCATTAATTAACACTTAAAATAAATAAATATTTTTTAAATAAAATATAATCCATCATAATCCCTAATTTGAAGTAGAAATTGATAATTAAGTCAACTTTCAGAGAAACTTAATAAAAGAATCATAAATTAAAGATTCAATTCCAATTAACCTCTTGATATGAATAATGTACTATCCATTAAAATCAAAAATACATTAAATTTATAACAAATATTATCAAAAGTGAATCTATTAGAGTATTTACAATATGATGCTGGTTAAAATGTCACCTCTCAAAAATATCAAGAAAAATCTTAAATAATAGATAAAATATCAATAAATAAGATAAAATCAGAAAGTTTTTAAATCAATTCTAATTAAATATTAAAAAATTATATCAAGATTACTCTCAATTCATCCAAAATCAAAATTGATATTAATAATTGAATTATCTACTTTCAACCTATAGACTAATAGATTATCTAAAAATGAAAAATATTTTATAAGATCAATTTAATAATTGTTACATACTAAAGAGCTAAGAATAATTACCAGTCTATTCTCTTTCAAATAATAAGTTTATATTTACTAATGTTAATAGTAAAGATATAAAGATATTTAGATTTTAAGATAACTTATATAATTCTTAACTAATCTAAAATGAAGGTAAAATCAAGAACTATGAAATAACAAGAACATTTAAGAATGAATTACTCTAAATTTAAATACTTAAAATGCAAAAATGAATCAAGATAATAGAAACAGAAGCTTTATATAAAAGAATAGATTGTATCAAATACTTAATATTAATAATTGACTGAGTTTTTTTGATAATATTGTGAAGTTGTATTAAATTATAGTCTTACGATCTTTTTCCTATTATCATTGTTATATTTATCATTATTATTATTAATAAAAGATAGTCCAATATAGAAACAAGGAAAAATAGTAATAAGGTATGTGCATTCAACGGTAATTTTACAAAATTGCTTAAAATAGGATGTAGAGAGAGTGTGAATTTTAAAATCTATTCACTTATATTGAATTCATTTCTTTTTTTTTATTTATGTAAACTTCTTTTTCCATTCATCTGAAAGTCTAGGACTTAATTTTATTTCTTAATTGACTTCTGATGTATATTTCACAATTCTTTCTTCAAATATTTTAATTTCCTCATTTAATGTACTTTATGTTTTTGTCTCTTTAGATTACTTTTATAAACTTTTTCTATCCAATTAGTTTGGATTTTGTATTTCTTGTAATTATTGTAAATCATTAGTTTGTTTATTTTAAACATTCTACTTTTAAATGTTGTTGTTGTAATTCTATTAAAATTGCTCTAATTAATCTAAATTGAGTTCTTTCTTTCATTATTAATTAATATTTACTTCTTAATTTAAATACTTATTTGAATCCCTCAAGTAATCATTTTGAAATTGTTTCTGAGTCTCTCCAACTAAAATGACTATGAAAAGTACCTTCATAAGAAAGTATTTTAGGTTCAACTACCACTATCAATTTAAATAATTGTACGATTATTATGCTCTTAGATTGGTGGCATAATCTTTTATTTCTCTTTTTAGTTTTATCTCCTGGTTGACATAAATTAAGTTATTATTTATTATAAATATATTGATGATCAAATATACTTAAATTACATAATAATTATTATTCAATAATAAAAGATTAGATGAATTTATATTATATATGAATTTATCATATAAAATATGGACAATAAAGAGAATCATATTGATTTTATTAAAAAATATTAAATTAATTTTTATATGATTACAAGTCGATCATAAAAAAGACTACTAAACTTTAGTCCACTCCCTATTGCAAAATCAGAGACCTTTTTGAAAGATATATCTCGATTAGATGAATAAATATCATTTTTCAATTCCTACTTAGAAAAATAGAAAACATAAAAAATGAAAAGAAAAGGTCCTTTTCAATGTTGTACTCCATTAAGAATTTAAGCTACAAAATTGAATCTCAGTTTTAATAAAACAACTCCATATAAAACATAACGAAGTAGAAAAATAATAGGAAATGAAAAACATCACCTAATTAATGGAACAATTTCTAAATAAAATGAAGAAAAATTAAGAAATACTAAAAATTCAATTTCAAGATGGGAAGAACATTTAGATTAAAATGAATCCTACTTTTTATATCATTTTTGATACTATTATTATAAATAAACAATTAGGTGATGTACATTAACTTAGTTCATTATATTAATTATTAAATAACTATATTATTAAATAGTTAAAGAAGTTCTAATTTAAATCTTTAATAAACAATAAGTAAATATTTTAATCATGTCTTCTAAATGATTATTATATTTTAAATCAATTTATACTAATCTGGATAATTGAATTTTCCTTCTTATTTTAATGAATATGTAATTTGTCCTTATAATCTATTAGATAAATGTTTTAATTACTTTTATAATGATAAAAGATAAAGATTTTTTGTCATTTTATTTAAGTTATAACTACCTTATTGATGACAAATATCCGATTATATTAAATATATTATTGCATTAAAGACATTTAGATAAAAATAAAAAGGAAAAGGAGTAGAAAGATATAAGTCTGATGAGAATAAGGAATGAAAAGCACAATTAAATAAAGATGGATGGTTGTAAGAATTTTAACTAATATATGAGTAGGAATTTATATATTTTTCGGGAATCTTTTTACCAAAATTGGTTTGCCTTGTAGATAATAATTTTACTTTAGTTATAAAATTGAATAGTATAAATTTGAAATACCCATTAACTAATGACTAATAATCTCATTAATCTATCTTAAATATATTAATAATGAATAATACCATTGAAAAAAGAATCTATTATAAGAAATATTTAATTAGTAAAGTGATTAATTGATTGCTGAAAATGAATAGCAACATTTTATGATATGATAAAACTGGATTGCATAACAATGTTAATGCTTAACGAAAAAAATAAATAGTAAAAATTGTAAAGCATTAGGAGGAAAGGAGAAATAAGTGGATTAAGTTTATTAAATTTTTTACACTTTCCAATAGAAAAAAAAATACTATATGAATGATCTTTTGTAAATTAAAATAAGTAGAATTATTTTGAAAATGCATATTGAAAATATTGAGATTAAAAATTTGAATTTGACAATGTATTCTTTATATGTAATAAAATATAATTTATTGAGCAAAATAACTTTCAGAATTTATATATTAATGATTTCTATAACATGCTTGATATTTGAATCATCAAAATAAAAGATTTTTTTTATTTGATAAGTCTAGTGCATATTAAATCAAGATTTTAATATATTTTTAATTTTTAAATATAATAGAAATAGGATGGATGTTAATCTGGATATTGAGATATTTGATCCAAATTGTAATACCACTCTAGTCATAGATGACACAGTGAATGTATTAGAACTAATAGATTATATTCAATAAACATTTTAAGAGTATAAACTAATATATGTTTAAGTAAATTCTAAGGAGTGGATGTTAGAACTATCTCGATAAGGATTGGAGGCACAAATGAGATAATACAACCAACTTCAAAATCTCTTCGAGATGTACTCAGACAATAAAAAAAAGCCAAACTCTTTTTTCAAAAAGGTCAAGTGTAAAGTCCGAGTGTTCAATTCTAACAATCTATGAGCCAAAAATAATTTAATCAGCAACAAACTATAGATTAGTTTGCCAATCAAACAAGAAATAATCCTTAAGTTCCTTAAGCTTAAACCTAGATTAATTAGACTTAATAATAATAAAATAGCCCAATTGGACGAACCATGTATTATTATATATAAATTATTAGTCAAGTGATTGTTAAAAATGGACCACAATAAATATAAGTTTAATTGGATGATAGTGTTACAATCATAGATGTTATTTAGCACTTTTAAGAAAATATGCACATAGATTTAAAGTATATTTTATAATTTAATATAAAGACAATACAATCTATTTTATGGCCAAGTTAATTTATCATTGATGAACTAAAATATGACTCTTAAATAATTGGGAATGTCGAACACAAGTTAATTGGAATGGAAACTTATAAGCTAAATTAGTTAAAGAGTATCATAGTATATCTATAGTTTTATTTAAGGCCTCCTAATATGGTTAATTAAAATATTCCTATAGGATAAAATTTTGTAGGACAAACACAATTACATCCATAAAACATTATTTAATAAACTAATGTTGGATAATAATAACAATACTAATAACCATAACAATACTAATAACCATAACAATACTAACAATAATAATAATAACCACAATAATAATTATACTAATAATACTAATAATAATAATAATAATAGCCATTCCAATAGCCATAATAATAATAATAATAATATGGATAATAATAAAATCTTGGAAATTAATAATAATAATAAGGCTAAATTAGTTAATAGTAGTAGGGAAATTAGTAATAAACTTCATCATAATAAGTTTAAAAAGGAGGAAAGTAAATAAATATCAACTTTGAAATTTTGGATGGAAGCCTTAAGCGACAATTTTCAACAATTGCTTTCACTAGTATCAGTTTATCAGAACTATTGGATGCAGTTTATCAATATTTAGGAATTTCAAAGTAATAATTTATTATTATAAATAGAGATGTAGCATCAGTTGACCTTTATATAAGTGGTTCACCATTTGGAGGGAATAAACTTTAGCAAAGTTTGGAATTATTGCAATTAACGAAAGACAATTAGACCCTTTAAGTTAAAATAAGATGGATTGGAGGATGATAAATTAAAGTTTAAATATTTCTTAAATATCAATTTATATTAATATTTAACAATAATTATAACATATATAAATAGCTATGTCTTTGAAAGATTTTTAACTGCTATCTAAATTAGGTAAGACTAATATGATGGATATAATTAGGTGAGGGAGCTTATTCATCTGTATATAAGGTGAAAAGATTGGAGGATTCATAAGAATATGCTTTAAAGAAAGTGAAATTATAGAACTTGAATGATAAAGAAAAATAAAATGCTATGAATGAGGTTCGTATATTAGCCTCTGTAAAGCATCCAAATATAATCAGTTATAAAGAAGCATTTATTGATATTCAAAGCAATTCATTATGGTAAAAACTATAAAATTTTGCGGTTAGTATTGTAATGGAATTAGCAGATGGTAGTGATTTGTACTAGAAAATTGTTAATTCAAAAAAAAATGGGAAATTGATAGAAGAACAAATAATTTGGAACATTTTTATTTAGATAGTTAGAGGATTGAAAGCATTACATGAATTAAAAATTTTACATAGAGATCTAAAAGTAAAACCTACAATATTATAAAGAGCGCAAATGTATTTTTATATTAGAATGGAGATGTAAAATTAGGGGATATGAATGTTTCTAAAGTTGCAAAAAAAGGATTGTTGTACACTCAAACAGGAACACCATTTTATGCAAGTCCTGAAGTGTGGAAAGACTAACCTTACGATTAGAAATCAGATATCTGGAGTTTAGGTTGTGTTGTGTATGAGATGGCAGCTCTTAAACCTCCATTTCAGGCAGAGGATATGGAAGGATTATATAAAAAAGTTATTAGAGGATATTACCCTAGAATTTCATAAAATTATTCTCAAGATCTCAGCAACTCAATAAGGTCTATGTTATAAGTGCAACCACATTTGAGACCAAATTGTGATAAATTATTATAATTTCCATCTCTTTTGAAAAGATAGGATGAATTACCAAAACAAGAATAAACTGATAATGAACCTAATACATTGTTGTCAACAATTAAGTTCCCTAAAAATTACCATTATTTTACATCAATGCTTCCAAAACCTTGTTATGAGTGTGTCAATAGAAAACAAATAAAATCATTACATTCTCAATAAGCTAGTCCAAATCCAAGATCTTTAATGAGTGTAAATGGGAGTTATGAAGATGTAACTAGTTAAAAATCTATAGATAAAAAAGATCATATTCATAATAATAGGAAAGGTTAACCAGAAGTATTATTAATATTGGAATAATACAATAAGGTATAGTATTTTATTTGATATACAATAAGTAAATAAGGAAACCCATTATGAAAGTCAGACCAAATAGACATTAAAGTTAAGAAGAAGTGAGTGTTTTGGAAGTTATAACTCAACATTAATCGAAAATATCTTTGGAAAACAATAGATTGCCAATACTTGAAGAAGTATCTCCAAATAAGAGAAAGGTAAGACCTAATAAAAATAGAAACTAAAGTTTACCTAATGCAAATTTACTCCCATTAATATAAGCTGGTGTATTAAAATGAATTATTATAATTAATTATTTTATCATGATTCATAATTAGAATAGAAATCCTATCTCTGATCCATATGCTCTTGAAGATTAACTTGCAAGAGAATTGTAAAAGAGAAAAGTAGAAGAAGAAAAAAGAAGGAGAGAAATAGAAAGGATTTGTGCTGAAAGTGAGGAAATCAAATTGTTAAAATAAAAAGTACAAACAGCATATGTTACTAAAGAGAGAACTTAATAATTAGCAGAATAACAATTAAGGAGAATTTAAGACTTGGTATATTCAGACAGTTATATTTTATTACATAGAAATAAGAGAGTGAAATAGAAGCAGCCATACTTGAAAAACTAAAAAGAGAATAAGATGAAGAAAGAGCTAAAGAAAAATATCGTTTGCATTAAAGGTTAGAGGGAAAATATGTATAATATAATATTATATCAATTTTAGACTTTATAATAATAGATGAAAGAACATGAATAATTAAGAGATGAAGCAAAAGAATAATATTTATATGAAAAAGATCAAGTGAATAGAGTTATAAATTTATTAATGGAAGAAGATAGAAAATTTTTGGAAGATTCAGCAAAAAAAAAGAAAATAGCTTTTTCTGATATGCAAGTAGCTTTAAGAGAAAAAGCTGAACTTATTCAGAGAATGAAACAAAAAGAAAGAGATGAAAATTAAAAATACTTAGATTTTATTAAAGAAAAGGACAGACAAGCTCATTAAATAAAATTAAAGAAGTAAGAAGAAAATGCAGCTAAGTATTGATTTGGATATAGTGTAGAGATAAAATCTTCTAAAAATTGAAGGAAGAGGAGGAAAGAAGAAGATAAGAGGCAGAATTGTTAACAGAATTAAGATTTTAACTTTATTAAGAATAATATGATGCTTAATAGAGATAAAAGGATATAGATGAAGCAAATAAAAGAGAATTTTAGAAAAGAGAAATGCAATAAGCTGAATAGGAAGCTAGAGTGAGAAAGTAAAGATAGAGAGAAGAAGAATAATAATTAGAAAGAGATTTTAGAGATTAAATGATGAGAAAATTTGCTGAAGATGATAAGATTGAATAATTAGGATAATAGAAAAGAAGAATGAAAGAAATGGAACATAAAAAAGAAGTAGAGAGATTATGGCAATAAAGATTATAATTATATTAAATGGAGTAATAGAAAGAAATGGAATAATTAGAAAGATAAAGAAGAGAATAACTTTATAAATAATAAGTAATAGAGGAAGAGAAAAATCGAATTCTACAAGAACATTTATAGTAAGTTGGAGAATTTATTCCAAAAGGGCTATTATTAAAATAGGGAGATACACAATATATTAAACAATCATAACCAAATGGAAGTTATTAATCTGGATTTAGATTATGATATTAATAAATTTTATCTAAAATTAATTAATTCAATTTATTATATTTAAAAGTGAAAGAAACAAATAAAAATTTGTTTTAATTGATGATCTCACTGTTTAAAACAAAAAATATTTACTCAAATTTATTATCAAAAATTATATTTTATCATTTTTCTTAATTTTTCAATCAAAAATTAATTAAATATTAATAATTTTTATACTCTAAATAAATATCAAGAGATATCCTAAATAATTACATATTTTACTTTATTTATACTTTTTCTAAAATAATATCAAAAGAAAGTCTAAATATACTCTATATAATTAATATTACTAACTACTAATATAATAATATTATTAAATATAATTTCTCAATAAAAGAAACTTTATGAATAAAATATATATTACATTTATATTAATAGAAAAATTGATTAATTATATGCTTGTTGCAATTTTTATTCTATGGTTAATGATAAAAATTGTATTAAATGGTTGAAAATAAATGAAATAATATTTTAATTCCTTATTTTCTTAGTTATATGAAATTAAAGAAAAAAATATGTATTTACAATTGATGTTTTTTTATTGGAAGATAATTTTTAACTTTTATAATTAAATAAACTTAAAATATATAAAATCAGTTCTATAATTCTGTTGACAAATCTACTTAAAAATATTATTGCTTTGTTAAAGATAGTAGAGTGTTTTCAAAATTTTTTGTTTAATAAGATTATATCTCTTCAATTTTATCTTTAAATTTAGGATTCATTGAATAAATTTCTTAATTATTTTATTTAATAAATACCTTTTTCAATTCCATCCCCATTTAATGAATTAAAATATGGATGTTATAAGGCTACATCTATATTAAATCTATAAAAGGATTGATTTTCAAGGAGATTTCTCATTAGATCACTACCAGAATCTGGAATTTCTGGAAATTGGTCTTCATCACCTTACATATTTCTTTTGTAGCTTAATTTATTTAATAATGAATACAATTTATACATTAGAGTGCCTACTTTAAAAATGTCCAGCTCAAATTCATGATTTGTTGTTTTTTGTATTACTGCATTACTAAATCCAATAATTTTTAATTGATTGTCTTCATCAAACATAATATGAGACCTTGAAATGCTTTTATGGGCTATTGATAGTTTTTCTAATCTTTTAATTGATTATAGCAAATTCTTTGTAAATAATGAAATATACATAAACTATGATTTTTATTTCTTCATCAGTAAAATCATTATCGAAATTTCTATATAAATGTTCCATTATCAAATAAACACATGAATTTGATTCGTAAACTTCATATATCATAGGAATAAACTTATGTCCTTAAAGTTTTAGAATTAAATTTATTTCATCATGAATAGACTCGATTGATCGATTACATTTCTTATAGCACTTGCAGGCATAAATTCTATAATTTCGATTACTTATAAGTTAACAGACCTAAAATCTAATAAAACATTATACTTTAGTGGTGTTGTTTTAGTTTAGGTATATAGTTTATTGAAAAGTATAAAATTTTAAAATTCCTTTAAATGTAGCAAGACATCCCAAACTCATTTTTAACTTTGCCATATCTTCTGATGCGCCTTCAACTTCGAGATTTTCAACTTTTAACCCGATTATTTTATCGCCATAAAAAATCCAAGTTATTATAAGCTTTAAAGAAAGTTTAAAGGTTATTCTTTATTCCTAATTAATTAGATCTAAAGAAGTTGTTGATAATTCTATAGTATAATTTTGATCTCCTATTTTACATGGAAATTACTTTGCGTTTAACATATTTTAATAATTAATTATTGTTACTATCCAGCGAAATGATAAAGTTTTAAATCAGATATAATATTTGCTCTTTGGCTCTTTAACTCTTGATTGAAAATAATCATAATTTTTCATATAAGATAAACGGAAATAAACATGGTCTAATAAATATTTTTAATACAAAAAGTAGAAACACAATAAGACTAATCAGATATTCTAAAAAACCAAAAATAAATATTAATATTATATCAAAATTTATGGTTTCTGTTGGTTTTTAAAATGTTTAAAGTTGAAAGTATTCACAACTAAATAATACAATACTTAAAGAAATTCTGATAAATATTCAATTTTTTCAAAGAATTATAGGTTTAATAATAGGGATGATTTTGGAAATGGTAGAATTAACATTATTTCTACGGTGATTCATTGAAAATATTAATAAAATAAAAATATCCATTTTAATCCCTATTGTAATCAGATAGCACATCTTTTTTATAAGACATTTAATTTCTAAAAAATTACTACAACAATATATTATTAAAAATTCTAAATAATTTGAAAGAGATTGAACTATAAGCTTGAACTCTATTTTTTAAATTTAATATAGAATTAAAAATTATCAAATTAATTTAATATAAGAAATAATAATTAGAAGCAAAATTATAAAATTATATTGTAAATTAGCATTTTAATTAATATTGCTAGTATATATATTAAAATAGATATGAATTCAATGTCTATAGTATTTTTGGTTTATGTTGAAATCCAAAACCTAATTTATTAATTTAATAAAATTAAACTTATAAAAAATTATATGAAGATATTTTTAGATAAAACTTTTATTTAATTCAACAACAATCATAATTTTTAATATATTTGTCTATAAAAAATAAAGTAATCTGAAAAATAAGTTCTTATTTATAAAGGACTATAAAAAATTCATAAAATAGGCTTATTATTTCAAGGATTTGAAATTTCTTTAATATTAGATGAAACAGTTATTATCTTCACATTAAAGGCAAAATAAGCATCTAAAATTAATTTGATAAAAAAGTTTAATAATGAAAAGAGGTTGAATTAATGTTTCATAAATTTTAGAAGTAGAAACAATAAGAATTTCTGAATAGGACAGAATAGGATTTTAAATTAGATACAATACTCAATTTAAACTTAGTTTATACAATATTTGATTAGATAATATTTTAATGAATTATTCGTTTAATTTTTAATAAATAAAAATATTAAGTTTAGAAAGAATATTTAATTCTTAGAGTTAATATAATAAAATCTAAGATACTTAATTGATAATTAAAAACAATTAACAAAAAATATATTATAATATTAATTATTAAATGATAAAATATAGGAAGATAAAAAATTAATTTTTTATTTTTTAAATGTTTATCGTTATTAAAAACTATTAAAGAAAGTATTATTTTTTTAATAACTCTTTCAATAAAGTAAATTATAATCAAATTTCTATTCATAAATTTTGGTTTGACTTCCAATTTAAAATTAATTTAATATTGTGATTTCTTCATATCCCTCACCATTATTAAAAATTGTTGTTTTTTATAATGATTTTTTCAACATATCTATTATAAATTTTATATTTATTACTTTGGTTGATATAGAAGTGCTCTCTTTTACTTTTTACAAATGTAATTGCTTCATTCAATGGAATTTATAATACCGTTGATAAATATAATACTACAAGTGATGGAGCTCTTCCAATACCTGAAGTACAATGTACATAAACAAATTCATAATTATTGATTAATTTTTTCAATATTTAAACTGCTTTGAAAGCTTTTCTTTCAAAATCTATTGGATCCATATCAAAAATTTCAAAATTCTTCATAAAAATATCATTTTTTTTATAACTGTTTTGTATCTCATCCCAATCGACTCCTCTATGATAAATATCTAATCTTGTTTGTAAATTTAATACAGCTTTAATTCCATGAGATTTTAATACAAGAATATCTTATTCATTTTAAGGATAAGGTCCTATAATAATATTTTCATTTATCTAAGTAATAGCAAATTAGACTACAAAATTCCAATCTAATTTATTAAGTCTTCCAAAAGATTCATAATAAAAAAAAGAAGGTTCCTTATCTGAGAAGGAATAACCTATACTAGTTTCTTTATTTATTTTTAAATGCTTATCAGAACAAAAGGATCCATTTTTTAATTTTTATTATCTATAATTTTAGCATGCTGTTAATAACTAAGTTTTAATTTTGATAGGAGATTTAGCAAATGCAGTTTAAACTTATCTAAATGATCTTAAATCACTTGATTTTAGATATCTACCATTTCCTCTTTCCCATATCATAGATCCATTCTCATCATTTCTAATTACATAAAAATATCTAAAAGAAAAATTCATAGGATCAACAATAAAAGAAATAGACCATTATTAAACTGGTTCATCATTCACTAAAATAAGAATGAAAAATACATATATCTATTTTTTATTAACAATTCATTAATACAGGATGACTCCATTAGCCTAATTATTCTATAGAGCCAATTACCATCATCCTTTATTTTTAAACTAAATTGTAATTTAATTTTAATTTGATTGTTCTATAGCCCCAATATTCACCTTTTATAATTGATTATTCGAAATACAATTGAAATATTCAGATTTAGTCTCATTTTAAATCATATGAGTAGTTATAACTCTATTTTCTCCTGGTTCCCAAATTGTATCCTATAATGTTGGATTATCAAAATTATTCACTATAAATTTATATTCAATCTTCTAATATTGAGATTTATCAATTCTAATGCACACAGTCCATTCATCATTCTTATAATATATATCTAAATATTTTTTACTTCATTCCATTATAAGCGAATTCCTTTAATTGGATTCCAATTTCCAAACTATTTATTATCTCCAACTATGTATATTGCTTTGCCAGATATAGTGTGATAATGAATTTTAAAGTAAACCTTAAAAGATTAAGAATTTAGAGGCATATTAGAAGAAATTGGTTGCTATTTCATTACTATTTATTGCAAATTTTTAATTATTATATTTCATTATATAAAACTAAATTTTCATTAGTTCTCAGTTTTTTGATTTTCTACACTCTAATTATTCTAAATATTTGACCAACTAATCAAAATTTTAAATATTCTAGATGCTATTCTTGAGTCTGTAAATAGTTTTTAATTCACTTTATTGATTTAAATTAAAATGCAATTTAATTTTTTTGCTTCACACTCTTTCAGACATAAGAAACTAAATTATATAATTAAATACTATAATTTATTGACTTCCTCATTAATAATATCATCCTTTATTTTAAAAGGTTCTGCTTCTGATTAAACTGCTTCTTTATAGTTCTTTTTAACTTATTGTAAATCTAAATTAGTAGAAACAGTATAATCTTTTGATTAATTTGCTTCTATTGGATTAGATCCATACTTATTTCTGGCTTTTTTTATTAATGTAATTGGCTCAGTTTCTGCAGCACCTCCAATATAATGAAAGATGACTAAAATTTATTATCTGGTTTAATTATATATTTTCTTATATTCCATCTATTATAATAAATAAGGTAATTCTGATATTAAGTTATTTTTATTAAATATGTTCAAATATCCAACAACAACATCTTAATTTTAATCTTCAAACATTTAATTATGTAATCTTTTGATTATTTACATGGGATCTTTATTAGGTTCTATATTTGCATCATTTGATGTCTCATAATCAATTATAGCAAAATTTAGATCTATTTTATTAGTTTTTTTTTGATTTTCCTTCTGATCAAATAAATTCATAAAAAATATTAATGTAATTTAATAGTAAATCGATAGAATTATTGAAAATTTTTAATAATGAAATATTTTATAAGCAAATATTTTTTATAATCTTGAATTAGAAAAAATCATATTTATTTATAAAATTATAATGATGATTAATAAGAGATAATAATCAACTTTTCTTGATAAACTTATTTTAGAATAAATAGAATTAAATGGTGATCCATATGTTTAAAAATTTTATGAATTTAATTCAAAACATTTTTCTATTAAGTATTGATAATTTTAATAATATTTTTAATTAATTGTATTTATACTAAAATTATTGTTAATTATATATCAGATTTAACAAAGATATTATTAATTTGTTAGAATATTAAATGTCACCATTACCAGAACCAAATAATCAAAATGTTTAATCTGAACAAAATAATGAAGTATACACTATTCAATTAACCAAAAGGTTTTTAGATTCATTTACAAAAACAAAGAATATGATGTGACTGAATATGTTCCAAAACATCCTGCTGGTAAATCTTTTTTTGATAAGATGAAGGATGAGAAAGAAGACTTTACAGAATATTTCAGGTATTTAATTAGATTTATTGATTATTTAGATGTCTACACTCCAAAAGAGCTTTGAAAATATTAAAATCCTAAAAAGTTGTGAGATCTAATATTAAGGAATCAGAAGAAAGCAAACAATATACACACATAAAAAAATAAGTAAAAAATCTTTTTGAACCGGATTGGACAATAGAACTGCTTCTTTTTCTTGGATTGAGTTTAGGTTTATATTTAGGAGTTACTAGTGAATGGTATATAGCAATACCTACTATAGCTTTGACATAAATAGTTGCTGGGTAAGATTTAATATATATCTTTAGATGGTAAGGACATTCAACTAACCACAACCGAAATCCTTTGTTGTACAAATTATCTATTCCTTATGGAATTATTCATGGTTTTTCTGCTGATTGGTGGTAATTCAAACATAATAATCATCATATCTTTACAAATAGAATCGGAAAAGATGATGATATCAATCACACATATTAAAAATGGTAATATGGATTCCTCTATTTGAAGTATAAAAGTAATTAATAATCTTTTAGATGGAAATTTGATTCTTTTCTGACATCATACAATAAGATTGACATCATCTATATTCTAATTCATCAATTAATTGTATTCTAACAAAAAATATGGATATATGTTGTTGCCTAATACATTGCAGGATTCTTTAGTGCTTGTATATTGATAGGAAATCATGAAAGAGAATATAAGTTCTTCAATAAAATTGACAAACCATTCATTGAACATTAAATTATAACATCTAGAAATTATGATTGGACAGGTATTATTAAATTAAACTAAATCTTAGATTGGTTATCTAATTTGTTGATGGGAGGAATGTAATTTTAAACAGAACATCATCTATTTCCATAGATTCCCTTCTATAGATTACCTTATGCAGCCAAAATTATTAATAGAGAATTAAATAAATTTGGATATAAAATACATGTTGGCAAAATATTATGATAATATATATATATATAAAATAATATTATAATTATTATAAGTTATTATCAATATAATTTGCTAAACAAGAAGGCAAAGAAAGTAAGAAAATGTTCAGTTAATTTCTAATCCATATCTATTCCATTCATAAATATAATTCCCTTCTGGTTTTTGTTAACTACTTTTATCACAAATTTGTGCTCAATATTTTTTAATTTAATAGACACTTTCCCTCCCAAAGTAAATTGGTCAATCTATATGAGCCATGGATGAAATATTATAAGTTCATCCAGTGATCTCAAATAAAACTATTCACTTCTACATTTCATTTCATATTCGTTTATTTCTTCACATGTAATAAATTCATAAAAAAAGAACTTATTTGCAGGTCTGGCTATGCAAAATTGAAAGTTTCTCTTAAATTATCCAACTCTAATTATAATATTTTATATATACTCTTAAATCATATTTCTACTGTTTATTTAAGAAAGGTACTAATTTGAATAATCTTATGTACCTTATAATCCTTGACTTTAAGATATTTTATTAAAATTTTATCCCATCTTAAAATTATTAATTGTGTATTTTATGAAACAATTTAAATAAACGCTTTAAAGATCATAATATAAAAATTTAATCTCCTATCTAATAATATCTCCAGGATTTAAATAAGATTAACTAATTTTTTCTGGCTTTATATAATATTCATCCTTTACTAAAATATATTAAATAATTTATACTTTTATTAGAATTAAACAAGACTATTAAATTTTATATATCATATTGAGCTTTATTTTTTAAAGAGATAATTATTTTATATCCTTCAGCACCATCACTTTCATATTTTTCTGATGTTAATGTAACTATCAATTCATATGTGTCTAAAAGTGTTGTCTACTCACTTAAACACTATTTCCTAAAATTTTATATCTCAAATTCTTGTAACCCTTTGAGTAAAGACCTTTAAAATTAATAATTTGTTTAAAATTTTTGTAAATGATCATCCCAATCTTCTTTCATTTGACTTTCATTTACATACTTTGATTATGTTTATTGTAAAGTCGAATAAGGAATAAACCCTTTCTAATGACTATTGTATAGTACACTTGATGAAGCAACTCTTACTTTTGAATTAGACTAATTCAAATGTTAATAATTCTATTTAGGTGATTCCTCAATTTAATCTTCTAAATTTAATTCAAATGGCGAACAAATTTATTTTTACTATTTTTAAACAGTTTGTTAAGTATCTTAACCAACTAAAGCTTTGCTTTAAGTATTTTATTCTTATATCTTTTATTAATCTTAATTTTCTTTCTCTTTATTCAACATATCTGTTATTTAATCTAGCTTCTTTCCATATCCTTAAACCAAATTCTCTATCATAAATACTTTAGAACTAATTTTATCAATATCAAAGTTTTCTTATTCATCTTCCTATAATTTTTGTTGAAATTATGATGCTAATTAATATAACTGGGTTTCTATATTTTATTAAAAAGATTTTCTAATGACCTCATGTAAACCTGGAATTAATTATTCCACTAATTATTAAGGATTTATTGCCTCTTTGTTACTCTCTTTGCTTTCTCTAACACTACTAATACCTTTTTAAGCAGATAAGATCTCTTAAGATTAAATTTTTAAGAATGGTTAAATTACTTTTGATTCTTCTATTGATTTCTCTTAGAACTCTGAGTTTCTATTTTGTACTGCATAACTCTAAGTAAGAGATTCATCTGGCATTTCTTATATTGGATCCAAATTTTTTTTTTATTCAATCTTTACTTCAAATTATTCAGAATCAAATTAAGGCAATTCCTTTTCCCATTTTGGATCTATAATAATTTCTGTTTCCTCTTTAGTAAAAGGATTATTTTTCTTTTTCTCGTTAATAGAATTTGAAGAATTATTGATTGAAAAAAATTAAGGAGATTAATTAGGAGTTACATTTTATGATGAATTTTCAATTAATGTTTAATTTGAATTGATACCCTGATTTCTTGGGGTTATTTTTACTTCTTATTACTGATCTTATTATTTACTTGGGTTTGAAGAGAACTATTATAATAATATTTATTATTATTATTGTTGTTATTACTATTATTATTATTATTGCTGTTATTATTCTTATTATTATGATTGCTGTTATTATTCTTATTATTATTATTGCTGTTATTATTCTTATTATTATTAAAATAATATTTATTATTATTGTTGTTATTTTTATTACTATTATTAGAATAATATTTGTTATTATTATTGTTATTACTATTACTATTACTATTACTATTACTATTACTATTACTATTATTAGAATAATATTTATTATTATTATTGTTATTACTATTACTATTATTAGAATAATATTTATTATTACTATTATTATTATTACTATTATTATTGTTATTATTATTTTTATAATAATAATTATTATTATAAGTATTGTTATTGTTATTCATATTCATACTTTTCTTTTTCTTTTTGTTATTATTATTACTATTCCTACTATTATTACTATTGTGATAGTGATAATTATTACTATTGTTATTATTACTATTGTTATTGTTATTATTATTATTATTATTCCTATTATTATTATTATTATTATTATTATTATTATTATGATTATTATTGTTATAATTATTACTATTATAAATATTAATACTATTATTGTTATTATAATTTTAGATATTATTGTTATTATTCTTATTCATATTATTGTTATTTTTATTGTTATTGTTGCTGTTATTATTAATATTAGTATTCTAATTGTTGTATTTATTATTATTATTCTAATTTTTATTGCTATTATTAAATTGGTTAAATTTTAGTCATTTATTAATTTTCTAAATTTTTAATCCAAGAAGTATTATCTTTCTCCTAAAAAAGTTCCTCTTCAATATGATTTTAAGATTATTTAGCAGATATTTTTGAATTTTAGCTCATTCTTTCACTATTATCTTCTTTTTCAAACCAAAAACCAAATTATTCTTATTAACTTTATAATTAGGGTGGTTAAATGACATAATTTTTACCCTACATTGAATTAGATTTATGTGATGAGATTGAATTGTTTAAGTTTTGTACCTAGATTTGGGCAGGCTAATTTTTAGGAGTTTATCCATCAGATGATTAGCTTTTATTGACTATTGAAATATCCTGTTGTACTGGAAAATTTGGTTGATCTTCTCGAAATTATGAAAAGAAATTATCTTAATGTAATGATGTTTATGATTATTATTATGAGGTTGATTAATAAAAGTTAATTTATTAAGGTTATGTTTATTTCTAAAATGGAAATTATTAGTCTTTAGGGCTTTATTTAGGATTTTCTTAAAAGCTCTCTATAGGAATTTCTTTTTTATTGAAATTATTTGATTATTTTAGATTTTATTAGGGCTCAAAATCTTAAAAAAATTCAATCGGAGCTGTGTTGAAAGTTTCTTATTTATTGACTTATTATATTTCTTTAGATATATCTCCTATAATTTGATTAGGAAATTTTACTTCCTAATTAATCATTTTAAAATTGTTATCTTTTTCCCAAGGTAATTCTGAATCATCTCCATGAAATTCAACTTTAGAATTTATTATATTATTATCTTATTGAATTTATTTATTAAAATCAAAATCTAAATTAAATTCTTGTTTTTTTTAAATAAGTTCCTCAAATTGAATAGGAGTATAACTTAGTTTTTATTAAACTTATTCTTATTATTGTTTAACAATAACAGGATTGTCTAATAGTTCTGGTTAAAATGTTTGTTTATTTATAGTTTAGGAGAAAATGGAAGGTATAGGGATATCATCACTAAGAAATTTATCAGACTTTGTAGCTTCCGGTTATTCAAAAATATTTTTTTGAATTTGATCATAATTAATTTTATGGAAATTTAAATTCTAACTGTTGTCTATTTAATATGGTTAAGTTTGAGTATTAGAATGGTTTATATCTTAAAAAATAGGATTTTGATGTAATTGACTTATTTAATTATTTTATGTTGTTGTTGGTTATAATAGAGTTGGATTAGGATCTTGAACTTTAAAGGCAATTTGTTAATACATTGGAAGTGAAGTAGTTTAATTTTAATTGTTTTAAATTCCTTGAGTTTAAAATTGATTAAATGAGAAAGTCATTTCTGAACTTATTGGAATAGAAGGAGAAATACCATTTAAAAAGGGATAGTTCTAATTATCTGGCTAAATTTCTGGAGCTTTTAATATCATTTATCTTTCTAAAGGATCAATAGGCAATTATTCAGGAGTTATATGATCATATTTTTCAGCTGGGTTGATATTTTAAAATTATTGACTTGATGAAGAAGCATTTTAAGAATTTTTAACATCCATTAGATCATCAAAATCATTCATATCTCTTGATTATTTTCTAACAGGTTATTCAACATACCCAAAATATTTTTGCTATTCTCTATATGAATCTAATCCAGCTTCTTCACTATTAGGAGTCTAACTATCGCCTTATTCAGGAAAGTCATCAAAATCACATATTTTAGAATTTTATTAAGATGTTTCCTGTTATTATGTTTATCCCATTTAAGGAAAAAAATCTTCAATTGGAACTTTATCTTTAGAATCATTTTGATTTTCAATGTAAAATTATTTAAAAGCATTTGAATATGCATTGCTTTTAGGTGTAATACTCTTTTCATCAAAAGGAATTGTGTTCCTATCTTCAGCACTTTTGAATTAATCTTAATGTTTTGATGTATCAGGAGTATAAAATTGATGATTAGAAACGTTAGAGATTTATGACATTTGTTTAAAAAAAATATTTAATTAACTATATAAAATAGTTATTCATTAATCTTTCTTGTTTTTCTTGAGTGTCTAATATCTTAGTTCATTATCTTCAACCTAATCGTTGTAAAAAGTAAATGATTATTTTCTACTCCTTTATCCTTCATTCTCTTATTATTATTGTTATTTTTACTCCAACATTTCTGATTCTTATGCTTTTTCATCTTTCTTTGGTACATCTATCAAATCAGATAAGCTCAATTTTCTATTATTTATATACTTTTAATTTCTTGCCCTAGTCCTAAAAAGAGAATATATACATTATAAAGTGAAAAAATGATTCATCATTTCCAGGTCTAGATTCTTCATTTAATTAATAATTAATCTTCTATTATTATTATTATTCTGTTTGAGTTTATTAAGACTACTATTATTTTAAGGATTGTTGTTATTCAAATTGATTAACTTCAGCAATGGATTAATAAGCATTTTAAATTTATTGAATAGCTATAATTTGATCTTTTTCTTTATGCAATTCACAAATTTCTTTAATTAATTCTTCAGGGTAATTTCGATCAACAATATCTTGTATTTTCTTTTACAATTTATTTTGTTATTATTGATATTTGGTGACTTGATCCTTTGCATTTTAGTGATAACATGAATCAGGTAGATTTAAATCTAAAATACCCTGTTGTAATTGCATTTTAACTTATTATTATTGTAGTTATATCTAATTTGATTCTATTTACATTGAATCTAAGTTTCCTTATATATCATCTTCAGAAATATCTAAATATAATATATTTGTATTACCATTAATAGAACCAAATCTTTATCTTTTTTATGTCTAATCCCCTTCTGAATAATGATGTATATTATTTTCAAAAATCTGTTTAATTTCTGAACTCTTAAGACCATTAAATTATTTATTAAATTCTTTTTCTAATCTATTGAAAAACTTTTATGCATGAGATCTTAATTCACAAATATGTAAATACCTAATTTAGGCACCACTTCTAGTACCAACATATTCTTCAACTTTTTTCCAATTTTTCCCATTTATACTCAACGCTTCTACAAATCTTTAATGTTCATCTTTTGTCCACCTTCCCTAAACAACTTCCTCCTATACTATCACTTATGTTAAAATTGCTACTTCGCTATCTTCAAAAGATCTTGATTATTTTCTTTTACTTGGCTATGCCATTATTTGTAAATTTATTTATATAAATATTAATTCATTATTATCTCTCATTCTATTTTATGTTTAATTCATTTGATTATTATTAATTGTGAGATTTTTACTAAGGAGGTACATATACCAATTCATAAGATTCTCTTAAATATTTTTCATCATCATTTTGATCTGTTTCTGTTTCTTCTGTTTCCACTACAGGCTTTTCTTATTTATAGTTCCTTTTCATATCATGTCTTCCTTTATAAAATTTCTATAAATGTTCTTCCTTTTTGTTTCTCCTCTCCATAATTTACTTTTTCTTTTCCTCATCCTTCTAATTATTTAATCTTTATTATTATTTTTCCTTCTTAATTTTTTTCTCTGCTTCAATAAAATCAGTTTTTGATCTTAACAAAAATTACAATTTAGATTCAGATAAATCAATAACTATTTTTTCTAATTACTATATATTCTAATTTTTATTACATTAATAACTTATTTTATAACTTTTGAGTCTATCTATAATCTCTTTCCCATTATATCTTAATTTTTTGTTGCTTCTTATTAAATTTCTATTATTTTCTTTCCAATTTTATCCATATCTAAATCTTCACCTTCTGCAAATTATAATTTTGTTTAATCTACTTTTTCTTAATCTTTCAATTAATTTTATATCTTTAATTATGCTTTTAATTTTCTTTCTTCTGCTTTCAACATTTCTAAATGTTCATCTTATTCATTTTTTAATTTTTATTCTAATTTCTCTAATTCCCTTTTCTTTTATTCAATATCTTCTTCTGCATCTCTTTAATTTTAAATATTTCTTAAATTACCCTCTTCAATATTGTTAAGAATCTCTATAACCAAATCAGCCATTCTTTCTTATTATCTTTCTGCTTCAATTTACTCTTATGTTTATTTTTATTCTTCTCTCTAATCTACTCCTGTAACAAAAAATTAATTTTTTTATTCATTTTATTGATTAGAAAATAAGTTAATATCTTTTTTTTCAAATTCTGAAAATTTTGTTTTGTATGTATCCTAAAATTCATTATAAAATTTAGAATTACTTTAATTTTTTCTAAAAATTATCTATATTTATCTAATTTTTCAAATTCTTCTCCATATTTTGTCTTTTATAACTTCAATCTATCAATTTAAGCTAATATTTTGGCTACTTCAGTTTTAACTTCATCTTTTTTCTTAGCTTCTCTATCAGCTTAATAAGCAGCTTAATCAGCTTAATATTTCACTTCATTCATAAACTTTTTGACTAATTCACAATCATTTTTAAAATATAATCTTCTTGCTCTTAATGATTCTTATTCATTCTTTATAAAATCTTCTAATCTTTCAGTTTCTTCTTTCTTTGTCATAATATTTAAATTAGCTAAACATATTTCTCTTTTTTTTTCAATAAAATCTGTAATTGTTTCTCTTTTTTCTCTTAATATTGATTTAATTCGATATTTTTTCTTTTTCATTTCTTATAATTCAAAATCTTTCTTTTTATCTTCTTTTCCATATATAGTTTTTCTAGCTTCATCATCTCTATATTCCATTAATTTTGGATTAAAATGTTTAATGTGTTAAGCTATTTCATCTATTTTTTATGGTTAATTAGGATCTCTCATTTTAGCTTCATTGGCAAACATCTCATCTCTCTCTTATGCTAATTTATTTGCTATTTAAAATATAAGTAAATTTATACTTTGATCTTCTAATTTTTATAACAGTCCAAATCTTGTTGATTTAGCACTTGTTTAATATAATTTTTAAGTATGTGGAACTTGTTTTTGTTCTTCATCATCATCATTATATCCAGAATTACGTTCTTTTTCTAACTTTTATAGAAACTTTTTAGAATCTAACTCAAATTGAAATGGATTTTCTTCTTATGTTTATTATTATGGTTAATTCATATTAAATAAATAAAAAATAATTATGAAAATTAGAATATTTAAAGCAAAATGTTTATTATCAATATTGGATATAATAAGAATAATTTAGTAAATTGTTTGAAATACATAATATGTGGAATTAGTTTGATAAAAAAATCAATTTTTAAGAATAAATATTTTAATTTAACTGCTAATAAAAATGTCTAATTAACCATTTCAAGTATATTTGAGAATCAAACCATTGTTGGAAAGCAGGTAAAATGTGAATACTTATTAGTTTAGTACAGAAACTTTAATTGAAGATTTGAATGACAATAAAATTGTAATTAGGAAAGATGGTAAAAATAGTAAATCCTTTGTTTTTGATAAAATATTCAGTGGTGTTCAAAATAATGAGGATATTTTTGATCAATCATTAAGAGTATATATATATTAAAAATAACAGCATAATCTGGATCACTTTGTTGAAGGTTATAACACAACAATATTAGCATATGGTATAACTGGTTCAGGTAAAACTCATACAATTTTTGGAAACGAGAAAGATGAAGGATTGTCATTTAAATGCATTAATTATCTGGTGAACAGAATGAAATACATGAGGTTAATAAACTCAATATTAATGATTAGTCCTGAAGCTAATGTCTAAATGGAAATGAGTTTTATAGAAGTTTACAATGAAACCATAAGAGATCTAATGTCAGACTAACCAAAACCTCTTATGATTATGTAAGACAATTAAAAGGGATCTTATATTTAAGGTTTATAAGCAATTAAAATTAACAGCATAAATGATGTATTGTTTATTAATATATAAACAATTAGGTGAAAGAAGGCATAAATATTGCAAATTAAAATCGAAGTTTGGCTTAAACTATATACAATGTTTATTCATCAAGATCACATGCATTAATACAATTTAATTTATCTTATTGTTTTGAAGGGTATTATCATATATTTCTTATCATTTAGGTAAACCATCACACCAAAACTTTTTATTGTTGATCTTGCAGGATCAGAGAGAGTTTATTAAGATTAAAAGAGTAAGAATTAATAAGAGGGTTCTAATATCAATAGATCTCTTTTGGCTTTGAGCAATTGTTTGACTATCTTATCAGATAAATCCAAGAAAAATTAACATATTCCATATAGAAATTCAAAATTAACTAGATTATTACAAGATTCTTTAGGTGGCAATACTAGAACAATAATGATTTCTTGCATATAATAAAATAAATGTTAATATGATGAAATATTAAACACACTATAATATAGTAGTAGAGCTACTCAAATAAAAAAGTAAGTTTAAAAGTCTTTGCATTAATAAATAAGTGAAGAAAAGATTCTAATTCTACCTAATATTACTGATTCTGAAATGAGTACTAAACAACTGTATTTAACTAAAATCTATAATGATATTTATAGTAATATTGAAGAATATCATGAAATTAATAATTCACTTATTGAAATACAAAATAATATTCTTTAAAATCAATATCAAATAGAAGAAATTTATTCAATGAGTTTGTAAAATAATTAAAATTCAATTAATGATGATTAAATGTATCATAATCTTATGATAGCCTAAAAATAAAACTAAGAATTAGAATAATAATTACAAAATGCATTAAAAGTTAATTTAAAATAAAAACAACTTTAGAAATCCTTATTACTTTAAATAACTGAAGAATAATAATAATATATTGATTATTGGGAATTAAAATACGAGGAATCATAAAAAGAAATATAATAATTAAAATAAGTTCTGTAATCTAAAGTATTATTATTATATATATACTATAGAATGATGATATACAATCAAAAGATTCTCAAATTTAATAGTAATAGTTATTTTTAGATTAAATAAAGACAAAAAATCCATCATTGTATACAACTAATAATGATTCTGATTGTTCATATCCTTCATCATTTGCCTCATCTACAAGTACTTCGTAAATCAAAAAGAAATCATCGTTAACTCATTTAAATACTCAAAACACATTATCTTAATAGTCTTAATTATTTGACATGATTGATCGTCCAAGATTTTCAAATTTATCTCATATTAAATAAATATTAGCTTCAAGAGAGCGTTCTCCAGTTAACTCAATATTTAGATAATCTCCAATAAGATCCCCTCTAAGAAAGAAGCCATCAATTCGAAATATAAGTAATAACATTATTTATCTAAGCTTCTATATCGAAAGTAGAATAATCAGAAATATCACAGATTTCCTCAATAAAAAAGTCTAGACTTATAAATGATCCACAAATAACTACTATCAACTTATATGGAAGTTAGTATATCAATTTAATAGACAAAGAAAATATTTCATGATATTATTATATTTATAACTTAAATATAAATCATTTATTGTATTTTATCAATAAGTTAAAATAATATTCATGTTCAATTAGTAAAACCATCCATACTTATAATATAGTATAATTAAATTTTTTGATATGTTAATATTCTTGTTTATGAATAAATAATANAATTAACATATTCCATATAGAAATTCAAAATTAACTAGATTATTACAAGATTCTTTAGGTGGCAATACTAGAACAATAATGATTTCTTGCATATAATAAAATAAATGTTAATATGATGAAATATTAAACACACTATAATATAGTAGTAGAGCTACTCAAATAAAAAAGTAAGTTTAAAAGTCTTTGCATTAATAAATAAGTGAAGAAAAGATTCTAATTCTACCTAATATTACTGATTCTGAAATGAGTACTAAACAACTGTATTTAACTAAAATCTATAATGATATTTATAGTAATATTGAAGAATATCATGAAATTAATAATTCACTTATTGAAATACAAAATAATATTCTTTAAAATCAATATCAAATAGAAGAAATTTATTCAATGAGTTTGTAAAATAATTAAAATTCAATTAATGATGATTAAATGTATCATAATCTTATGATAGCCTAAAAATAAAACTAAGAATTAGAATAATAATTACAAAATGCATTAAAAGTTAATTTAAAATAAAAACAACTTTAGAAATCCTTATTACTTTAAATAACTGAAGAATAATAATAATATATTGATTATTGGGAATTAAAATACGAGGAATCATAAAAAGAAATATAATAATTAAAATAAGTTCTGTAATCTAAAGTATTATTATTATATATATACTATAGAATGATGATATACAATCAAAAGATTCTCAAATTTAATAGTAATAGTTATTTTTAGATTAAATAAAGACAAAAAATCCATCATTGTATACAACTAATAATGATTCTGATTGTTCATATCCTTCATCATTTGCCTCATCTACAAGTACTTCGTAAATCAAAAAGAAATCATCGTTAACTCATTTAAATACTCAAAACACATTATCTTAATAGTCTTAATTATTTGACATGATTGATCGTCCAAGATTTTCAAATTTATCTCATATTAAATAAATATTAGCTTCAAGAGAGCGTTCTCCAGTTAACTCAATATTTAGATAATCTCCAATAAGATCCCCTCTAAGAAAGAAGCCATCAATTCGAAATATAAGTAATAACATTATTTATCTAAGCTTCTATATCGAAAGTAGAATAATCAGAAATATCACAGATTTCCTCAATAAAAAAGTCTAGACTTATAAATGATCCACAAATAACTACTATCAACTTATATGGAAGTTAGTATATCAATTTAATAGACAAAGAAAATATTTCATGATATTATTATATTTATAACTTAAATATAAATCATTTATTGTATTTTATCAATAAGTTAAAATAATATTCATGTTCAATTAGTAAAACCATCCATACTTATAATATAGTATAATTAAATTTTTTGATATGTTAATATTCTTGTTTATGAATAAATAATACATTGAGGATAAGATTAAATAATCATAAGAGCTTTATAAAAATAATTATATTCATTTTTTAAAGAAAATAAAAGTTTATCAACACAAAGTTTTTTTGTTGATATGTAAAATATCTCTGCATTCCAGAAATTGAAATTCTCTTACTAATTACTACAATAATAATTCTTATTTAAAATATTGAGTTTTTTGTTCGAGATAATAAAATTATAATTAATATTTGTTATCATTTTGATTAATATTAATACATATTGTTCATGTAAAATAGTTTTGCTCATTCAAATATGATAATAATTGATAATGATTAGAAGAATGAATTGGGTTTATTTTTGAATTGAAAATTAAAATCAACAAAATCAACAAGCTAATTATATATTAATCCATATTCATAATAAAAATTAGAAATATTTATATATGCATTTAATAATTAAATTTTTATAATCACTAAAATTTCCATAAGAATTTAATTCTTAAAATATTGATATATTCTTCTTTTATTTGCTTTTTCTTTATACTTCCTCTATTTCATTATCTCATTCTAAAATAAATTTGTCACTAAAATATAAATTAAAATTTCATCCTTTGATTCATTATTTTAGAAATTTCATATAAAGAATGAATTTGAGGATAAATTAGGGGATAGAAATACTTCTTGGACTTATTATAAATGAAACTTTTTTAAATGTTGAAAAATAAATAGGATTAGATATTATTGTAACCATTCTTAATCGTATAGAAATCGCTAAATTTAACTATTAATTAAATAATAAATGAATAGCAGCTAAAAAATTAGAAAGGGATCTCGTAACATGAAGTATGAATAAAATTTCACTTTTAGGTATAAGAAGATTTCACAAGAATAAAGGACTTAAATAGTAAATGAGTTAACAAAGAATGGAAAGACTTTAAAGGAAGTAAATAAACATATTATATAAAATAGGTTTCTGAAGAAACTTAATTGAAACCTTCTACTGTTAAAGCTATATTGTAAGTCTATTTAAAGGAAGGTAGAATTGGCAAGAAATCAACTCGAGATAGAAAGGTGAAATTGTTAAACACCACAGTAATTGCTTTGATTGACAAAACAAAGTAATATATTTTTGTATGTTATTTAAAAGAAACAGTGATCATGCTATAGAGAATCTTTAGTTTATACATCCTATGATCAAAATAAATTAATAATCATCTGAAATATCACATAATGGTTAGACCCTAGCTGAAACTTAATAGAAGCTTGATTAATACTCAAAATAACTTATGATGTCTTAAGTTAAAGACTTTTTAAGGGAAAAGAAAAAAGAAATATTGGAATAGTTAGTCAACCCATTAGCTAAACAGAATTTTCTAAATTAACTTGCCCAATTTGAAGTTGCTGAATAATTACCTTTTCAGGAATTAAAAAAGGAGCATTTACAAGTAGAAGATGAATAATTCGTTGAAAAGATTACATAACATCTAAAATCTAAAGTAAAACTATGATATAAAAAATACATATGTTTTATATATAAATCATAATAAACTAGTTGTTCTTGGTTATTCGTATAATGATATTATTTATCCATTTTAATAACCAATAATAAGAACTCTATGAGTATTCACTATAATTATAATAATGAATAATAATACATTGTATAAATTAACCACATGAAATTTGGGAAGTTAAAAATTCTAAATTTTTGGTATTAATTAATTCTTTGACTTTTCTCAATTAATTAGTCTCCATTTTAATTTCCATATCCTCTAATTTGTATTTCTTGAGACAATATTAATTAAAATCATCTGTCTTTTTCAATTAGATAATTGATGTAATAAATATTGTACCATCATATGTAAGGATTAACTAATTATAAGATATAATAATTACAATTTCAGGTGAATAATCATTAAGAACATTAATAGATATAATATGATCTAATAATTCTCTGGATATGAATAGTTCTCCTTATAAAGTGTATATGATCAACTATTTGGATTAAGAAATTAAAATAAATCCAGATGGATGAATTTTAATTTAAAGACAATCATTAATAGAAGTTTCAATTAATTTTAAAAATGCTCCTTTAATTGTATGTATAAGGATATCTCCTTTGAGATCATAACTTAAAATAATTTGTAAAATCTAATTAACTTATATAATTGACACTTCGTTTTGATGTCCATATAATATAAATTCTGGTTAATGTGATAATGTCCATTCCCAAACTGATATTCTAGTATCTCTACTTCCACATAATAATTATGTTGAACTTTTACCTAAACAAGTAACAACTTTAGTATGAAATAAAACAGAACATGTTAATTTAAGATCTTTAAGAGAATATACTTTAACAGAATTATCAGTATATCCACCAACTACTAAAGAATCATCAAATAATAAGAATATGTTATCTTGATTAAATTTTAATTATTTAATTTCTTAATTTCCAAAATCTTTTGGTATTTTATGACTTGTTATTCTATGTTCTACATTAAAAACATGAATTTCTTATTCATTTGTTATTAATACTAAATATTTATCATTACAAAATAATTGATCAATTTCAATATTTTATTTATTTATCATTAAAGTAATTTATTTAAGTTACAATAATGGATTTTAATCATTCAATTTTGAATATTATTTTATTGGATGATCTTTCTTAAATAATTATTAAGGTGTTTATCCATAATAATAAACTTAAGTAATATATTATTCTTTTAAAACTTCATCATCAGTTTTTTCTAATAATGACTATACGTAATTACTATAAGTTAATCTATGATATAAATTATTATATTTTTAAGCATTCATTCCACTTTTATATCCAAATATTAAATCAATCCAATTATGTAAATTAAAACTTACATAATCACTTTCTAAAACTAATCTATTTACAAATATCATCTCTTCTGGACTATTAGTATGAATAAATTAAGGTAATGTTACATCACTAACTACTGTTCCAGATTAAAGTTATCCTAAATCAAATTTATTTTTATTTTTTAAAAACTCACTAAAGTAGAAAAACTCTGGAATTAATTCTTTAACATCACTACTTGAATTTGTAACAGAATGCCATTATTATTCTAAAGAATGAAATAATCTATCTGCTTTATCAAATCTTCCAGATTATAATTCTTAATGAAGTGAAGCAAATGGTTCCATTCTCATTAAAAAACTCATTACAATTGCACTATGTGAATAATGAGTTCCATAAATAAAATACATATTCATATCTTCTGGATTTGCTTACTTAAATCTTTCTAAAAAGTTTTCTAATCTCTTTTAATTTATTGCTCCTATTGGAATATCAAGTTTTCTAAAATGTTCTTTATTTTAAATATCAAAATCTACATAATTTGATATAACCCATGGAAATATTGGATATTAATTTAAATCATTATATGTTCTCCCTCCATATTTATTAACTTCAATCAAATATTAGAAATTTGTAATATCTCCTCTTCTCCATTTTTCAATTATACCACTCTTTTTAAATTATTCAATTGGATTCATTATTACATTGCATTATTATGATAAAACTTTCATAACTGTTTGTCTTTATCCAAAAAGATTAAATAAATATGTTTTATTATTATTAGTAAATAATTCAATAGCTACTGGTTAAGCCAAATAACTTCTTGGAAATACTTCTTTAATTTAAGATAAAGGAATCAATTTTTATTTTTCTGTCTTTAATAGACTATCTTTTTAAAATTTATATTAAACATCTTAAAATTGAATATCTAAACCAAAATTCTCAAACATAAAATATTCATTTGTTATTCTTATTTTTCCTCTGTAAAATCCTCTTTATGTTATTAATTCTGCCATAAATCTTTAATTTTCATTATTAATAAATTTATCCTTCTATTATATAATTTATTATGCACCATATAAATCACTAAAAATACTTTATGCTGTTTTATTTAATTATATATGTTCATATGTCTTTTTTTATTTAGCAAATACTTTCAAAAACATTTTTCTTCTCATACTATCTTCATAACTATTAATTGAATATCTTTCTTTTCCTAATAATTATAAAAATGATTCTAAATTTTCATGATTCAATTACTCATATAAATGTGCATCTCCATAATTCATAAAATACCACAATCCTCTTTTATGAGTGTTTTATTTATAATGCTATTTAACTTTAAATTGAATTATAAGTTATTTTATTATTAATTCATTTTCAAACTTTTATATAATTTATAAAAATTCTTATCTATATTAATTAAATAAATTAGATGATATTTTTGGAAAATCAGATAATTATTATTAATTCTAAGATATAGTTAATGTTGATTATTAATTATTTAAATTAATTGAAGAATTATCCATTTGATCAACATTTTAATTCTGTAATGAATAAATGTTTAATAATATACTTAATTCTTAAACAAATTAAATTTATCTAAATGAATATAATTTAATATAAACACAAGTTTTTTTTATTATATCCTTTTATTCTTTAAAAAATTCTAAATATTTGAATAGGGAATTCACTTTACTAATAAGATCTAAGAATTTCTTAGCATCATTACTCAATTTATCATTTTATTAAATTGCAGATTATATTTATTAACTTTATTAGTTAAATTAAATAATTATCTAATTAGCTCTATTATTTATCTCTTCAATTGGTGTATATATTGATAATTATTCTATATTAATCTTTGTTGATAATTGATCTATATAATTTTGTATATTGTTTTATTCAATAATAGACCAAAGAGATTAAAAATTCAAAAAGTTATCAGATTTAAATTTAATTAATGTAAAAATATCATAAAGTTCTTCAGAATAAGAATATTATTAAGATAATAATTAGAATTTTAATACATGATATAAATGTATATC